TTTTCCTCTTTCTCTTCTCTTCCTCTCTTTCCTCTAACTTTCTCTCTCTCTTTCCCCTCTTTCTCTTTCCTCTTTCTCTTTCCACTTTTTCTCTTTCCCTCTCTCCTCTCTTTCTCTTCTCTTTCTTTCCTCTTTCTCTCTCTCCCTCTCCCTCCAGGTTAGGAGAGAGAGAGAGAGAGAATGAAAGGCAGATGGCGCCAAACGGGCGGGGAGAGCAGGACGGAAGGTAGAAGCTCCCGGCCGCCCCCCATCGCTTCTTCAGCCGAACAAGCAGGGAGGGGCAGGGAGGGGGAGCAGAACGGGAGGCAGCGGCTCCAGTGGCGGCGGCCCCATTGCGTCCTCAGCCAAACGGGCAGGGAGGGGGAGCAGGACAGGAGGCAGCGGCTCTGGCGGCAGCCACTGCAGCATCGTCGGGGTCCCCGTCGCTGCCCCTGGCCCGGCCGCTGCCCCCGCCGTATCCTCAGCCACTTCGCCGTCTTAAGAGGAGGGCGCCAAGGCCGGGTGCACCATGGGCGGCCGCGCCAGCAACAGGGAGTGCCGACGAGGGGGGGTCCCGATCGCCGCCAGCCCCGCCGCCCTCGCATCCCAAGGTCTCCTTCTCCTGCAGCAACAAGGGCAGCAGCGGCGGCTCCCTGAAAGTGCCCGAGGAAGGTGCCACCGATGGGGCCGAGGTGGGGCCGAGCGGCGGAGAGCCCTGCGGCAGCCGGGCGAGCTTCATGCCTGGCTGCCATCCGCCCTGGGCTGGGGAGACATGTGGCCGGTTCGGCTTCCCGGGGAGCGATGCTCCCGCTGGCCGCCGCACCAGCCATGACTGCCGCCCAGCACGGGGAGACATGTGGCTGGTTCGGCTGCCCAGGGAGCAGCCCAGGAAGCGATGCCCCAGCCAAGACTGGAACAAGTAAGCCGGGGGGGGGCGAACCACCTGCCCCACAGCCACTTCACGGCGGTGCTCTGCGGACTCAGAGCTCCCTCCCTCCCCCCCTGCCACTGACCTCCCATCTCCGGCTCTGCTGCTGCTTGGCCAACGGTTGCGCCGGCTGGACATCGCAGGGGCTGCTCTCTCTCGGGGCTGCAGCTTACGGGAGGGCTGGCCCACTCAGCAAAGGCTCCGAGGGGTTGCTCCCAGCGGGGATCCCAGGGCTTCCCCGCATGGCTCCCCAGCCACGTGCGCCTGGGACGGGGCCAGCCCGAGAAAGGGATTTCCTGGCCGCCCTTCTCCCAGGGGGCGGGGCACCTGGGCACAGGGCCAATGAGGAGCCCTGCGAGGGGGCAAGTCCCATGAGAGAGAGAGAGAGAGAGAGACAGAAGTGCAAGTGCCTCTGTCTCTGTCTCTGTCTCTCTCTCTCTCATGGGACTTGCCGGAGGGCCATGGGAGGGCCGCATTTACATAGAGCAGGGAGGGCTGTTCGAGGGCCGGATTAAACCGGGCCGCGGGCCGCAAATGGCCCGCGGGCCGGACTTTGGACATGTCTG